CTACACTACAAAAACATTAAAGATTATTTCTGTTCACTGACACTACTGCAGTTTCACCAATGATAAAAGCTACTGTGTGAAGAGCACCTTTTTCCTACTATTTTAGCCCTTTAGCCAGGATGGTTAGAGGTGACAGTACTTTTAGTGGGCTCCAGCACCAGTGCCTTGGTAATAATGATTTTTCAAGCAAACAAAGATGACCATTGGTCTTAACATATACTGCTCAAAAAAACATTTGGAAAGTAAATTCTCAGTCAAAGAATAATTTAGACTGAAAACCAAAAGGTAAGCATCAAGATATTTTCTTGCCTCCCCAGTGCATTTTAAGGACAGATAAAGGCTATTTCACAGAAGAAATACTGAAGAAACAAAAAAATAAGGCTTCAAAAGTAACCCCAGGAATATAAAATTAGCTTTCCAGTGCTGTATGTCAGTTTTATGCCCCTCATCTAAGCAGTTCAAATGAACTTGCACTCAAATGTTATTAGATATTGGTGCCATGGCATTTATATTTCCAAGTATGCAAGGGACACGTGCACATGAGCAGAAGCACCAGGTCTAGAGGGCACCATTATATTCCTGTTTATTTCCCCAGTTACAGCAGGCTACAAATGCATGCTATTTATTGTTATTTGTCTCTTTGCAGACATTCAACCTTAGAATTTTTATCTTTCCTATGTAAGTTTTCTATTTTAATATTCTCTATCATAAGGAGTGCTACCAGTCTGATTATTTCTTGGCTTGCATTGCCTCATTTGAAACAGTTTCCACCCAAACCTATTTGGTTCAAAATGTTAGTGACCAAAATTTCACCCTTGAGAAATGAAAAGTGGAGAGACCAATGATAGTGAAGAATTTGAAAGTGCCCCAAGTCCATTTCCAAGCAATAACCATTTGCCGTTTCCACCTCCCAGTCCACAAGAAATTCAGTGGGCAAAGTCAAGGCAAAGACCCCATTCATCTTTCCTTTGTGTTTGCAACACCAATTGCAGCTCTGAATTGATAAACTGCTATTGATGTTAGAGATCAATGAGATTAAGCATGTGCTTAACTTTAATCACATAAATAAGTCCATTTCTGAATCTGGGCAGCATTATCCATCACTGGGCAGAACTAAGCTCTTTCTGGATAATTAGCACTTCATTTGCTTTGCCATGGCCAGTGGTCCTCACATATGGTATGAAGAATTGTATATATTAAGAGCCTGGTTCAGAATCTAAAGTCAAGTACATTCTTATCTGACCAAGTTTATTGTACCAGGAAACAGCCTGAAATCATTGGCATTGTTCAGTCCTTGCTTTGCTAAAGTGAAGGGATGCCAGTCTGCAGAATCAAGGAGGAGAATGAAACCTGGGCAGAGGACCTGAATGAATTACGATTTGAGTAATTAACCAAGCCCTATGAATCCCACTGTTGGAATCAGTTTTCCTTCTCATTAACATTCTTTTATACTTTCAGTACAAAAGTCTTCAATTGAACACTGAATTGATTTTATTCATCTCAAAAATATATATATATTATAGTCAACCCTGTTTAGTTCTCGGAATTTAAATCAGGTAGAAATGCTCTTGTGCAAAAGATCTGATCAGTTTGGTTTGGTTTGGGTTTTTTTATCATAAAGTTAAGCATATTTGACACACTAGGAGAATTTAGTTTAAATTTCTAATTATTCAAATACAGACTAAATGCTGCTTTATTACTTAGTATATCTTCATTAATTATCAGTGTTGAGGATGCATTTTAAGAAGCTCAGGAAGTTTTGAAGGCACTTTTTTAGTGGCACAAGAAAACTCTCAAGTTTTTAAGAACATCATCATGATTAAATAAACATTTAATTTTATGCTTTAATTTTAACTCAGCTGAGTCGACAAGACAGAGTGGTAAAGGAGTCTTCATGGATAAAATTATCCAAGAAGCAAACACAACTGAAAAAAACCCACAAAACTTGCAAATACTTGTGTTTTCCTCTAATTGCTTAGAAATCAACTGCTACAGGACATAAATATCTGAATTGATTTTCAATGCTAGACACCACAATTCTGAAAGGGAAAAATGGTATTTTTTTTTAATTTACAAGCTGCATATAAAATTCGTCACACATTTTGATCCCACTTAAGCAACCATTAATGTTCTCTGTTGGGGAACACAACACCCTGTTCACCTCCTGACCTGCTGGCCTCCTGGAGAAAAGGATTGTGTGATCATTTCAAGAGCTGTGTTTCACATGTGGATTCAAGTAAGAGAAAAGTTGCCACTCACAATAACAGCCAACCTTGGTACAAGCCCCTTGATCACATGCTGTTAGCAACATAGCTCTGGATTTTTGGTTTAAAGGAACCTATCAGGGAGCAGACCCCACTCCGGAAATATTTCCACACATTCAAATACGGATGTATCCATGAAAAAAACAAAGCTCAGAGTTCTCCTTCTTTGGTCACCTTCTTTATTAAAAATAAATTAACAAAAATGACTTTGCACTGCTGGCATTGCCAGAAGCTCTTACAAAACACAAGTATTAAAGAACAAAAACCCCAGGCCTCAACAGTGCACGGGGGGTTTGGGAGCGCAGCCTTGGTCTGGAGTCAATCACGGCTTTAATGACCCACATTTGCACCGATTTGCAGTTGGGAAATAGGAGATTCACCGAGCATATTGCACAAGCAGCTGATCTACAGCACAGAGATGTTCCTGGAGCCAGTGAAACAGGACAGTGAAGTGCACTCCAAGCTAGGAGGGGAGGTAAGAGAGTAAAACACGGTACTGGCACATTGTCTAAATGTAAGCGCACAGGACTCTGTCACCTGTGTGCCCATGCCAACGTGCTCTTCCAACCACACATCCAGACATGATCCATCACTCAACAGAATGTGCCTCCTGTCCCATGAAGGACGACAGGCAGCAGATAAATCTGCTCTAGTCCATATGGTGAGCAAGAAGCCTTTTTCCCCAGCCTAAAGATTAACGGCAATTGTCAGAAATCTTAACGGGGGCCAATGTAAAGATAATTTTAAACTTACAGAAATTCCTAAGCGGTTCATCATGCCTTGTCACGAAGTAATAACCACATGCAAAAGCTGAATTTAGTGTTAGGCAGTCTATGGGGAAATAAAGGGCGGGGGGGATAAAAAAAAAGAATACACTTAAAGCTGAATTGGCTTGCATTTCCCAGTGGTCTCAGCAGCCCAACAGAGACTGCTCTGCCACCACCCAACACTAAAAATGACCCACAAAGATTGAAGCACACAGCCCAGAGGCAAAACCCAGGAAAATGTTTGCATTCACTCCGAGCTGAAACATTCCATGGGCAGTTTTCAGCCTCCCAGGAAAATACACCACAGTGCTCAGTAGCTATTTCTAACCTCTGGTTTGCTTCCAGTCAGAACCCCTCCCCTCTTGCATCTCCTAGTGCACAGCCAGGGTTTCCAGCAGCCTTCTCCCTCCTCAGTCAGTGCCAGCCTCCAAAACACTTGCCACGTTTTCTCTCTTGTCCTCTTTGCCCTAATTTTATTCTTTTTCCTGATTTCTCTACTGCAAGACAAATATCCTCATATCACCATGAATATAACTATAAAAACGGTTACTTAAAAGAGTGTAAATCACCCGTGATATTTAAAGGGTGTCCTTTTAGGATTTGGGGAGGGCTTGTTTGGAAAGAGAGGAGGAGCAGGGCCCAAGCCAGCAGCTGGGCCACCAGGTAGTGCAGATGGGCTCCTCAGGAGTGCTAGGGCTGCACACCAAGAGAAGGTAAGAGAGGATTTCACCAGGACTTCCCATGGCCATGGGCCATACCGAGAATGGCCCACAGAACTCACAAGATGGTCAGTAAGCCACCAGAAATGCCCCAAGCCACAGCAGCAGTAGCCAAAATTGGGCAGAAGCAGGGCAGGCAGCAAGATCAAACCCTTCCATGCCTTGGTGGAGCTTCGATGGACTGAACATTGCCATGATTACTCCCCAGGACTGCACATACACGTGATGTTTCTGAATATAAATAAATAAATACATATATATAAGAGAGAGATTTACAGTAAGAAAAACACAGCCTGCTAGAGAGATTATATGAGCAGAGGAAGCATGCCAAAAGTGGTTGCTGTTTAATTTCAGCATACATACTGCCTCAGGTACAAACAAAAGTCTCAAGAATCCCATTTAAAGCTCTAATCAGGCTCTTCATTCATTTTCTAATTGGTAGAGCCTGATCCTGCAGCATCCAAATGAAGAATCAGGAAGAGAAGAGATGCAGGTCCAGGCTGTGGTCCCCGTGCAACATACTCTCAACACACCACAGACATCTGAGAAGGGACTTCACCCAACCTGCAGCACCACAAAGTACAGAAAGCACCTTACCAGTGAGGCTGTTAACCTTTGGGACTGTCTTTAGTACTCAAATGCTTCATTACTTTTTTTCTTATTTTTATTTCACTGCCAGAAGCTCAGTCCCAACAGAGCAGTCAGCCATGAACTCATCCTAACTCCTCTCCCAAGGAGTGAAGCATTTTGAATATCCATGCTTTACACTGGCTGGGAGCACAGTAGCTCACATGACATCACAACATCTACCAGGCCACCACAGTGGGAAAAGAGCTCCTGAAAACAGAGCAAGTTTGTTTAGAACCATTGTGGTATTCTCATTGCACAGGCCACCATTAACCACCTGCCCACCTAGAAACAGGATTTTGGGGTTTTTTATCCCATTGTTTTCATTAAAGATGCATTTGAAGGGCATTAATTGGACAAAATACAACATACTATCAAAGTCACTTTCCTAATAGGTTTCTTATACACCACAAAAAGTAGTCCTTTGAAGACACTCCTCCAATATGTTTCAGTTTGCTGTTAAAAAAAAAGAATAAATATTTCTCCCTTTGTTGTTTAAAGAATCACTTCTTTTAATCACCACTGAAAAAATAAACTAGAGATATTATTTTTCATTCTGTATTTTTAAATGGATTCAGATGAGGAGTCCAGAGGAAATCTCATCACTTCTTTGTTCTTATGAAATATCTCAGACTGAAAACATCCAGTGCCCTCTTGTTATTGTCAAGCCTAGAGCCATTAAGAAGGTGGTCTTAAGAGATAAATAGAGCAGTGATGCTTCACCTCTTTGTTCAAATGGAGGTTTCAATAAAGCATTACTGACTTTTTGCAGAGGAATTATTTTGCTGCCTATGGGTTTTAGGATACCAGCCATCCAGAGAAATCTTTTGACATCAGGATAAGATCTACTATAGGTAGTATTTAATCCTTTAATACTAAAGGATTAAGCCAGTTGACCAGGAAGAGAAATTAGATTTAACACCTGGAAAATTCAAAGCATTTCCAACCTTCTCATTCCAGGGTTACTCTCGTTGTCCAGACAAGAGCACTTACATGGAGTTTAGCTTCTACATTTAACAGAAACAGAAACAAGTTTATATTGATCTAAAGCTGAAGACCTGGAGATGATATTGAAATACCACAAAATGGACTAACAGACATAAAAAGGTCCAGAAGATGGGGATCTTTGTTGTTTCTAGGATGGACAAATGCATGCCTAAAACCAAGGTCAGTATTCATGAAAGAAATAGAAAGCATGAAATGGATGTGCTGGACATGGCAGCCATGAGCAAGACCTGGGAACAGTTTGCATTCAGCTGTGAAATAGCAAATATCTCTGATTATTTTGCTGCTAACCTAGTTGTGCCTGATGAAATCTGCCTTTCAGATGGGCTCATGCTTTTTGCTGGCCTTGTCCAAACTCACATCTCAGCCACAAGGAGCAATTACAACATCTACAGAGACACCAAGTCCATGAGACATAAAATGTATGTCAATAGCAACAGAAAAAAAAAAATGAATTCTGAGAGAAGGAGAAAAAAATCTAACAATTTTTTATTTAGGAAAGAAAGTATTTTTTAACCCCCAGTATGGCTTTGCTGAGTTTATGCTGGGAAGGTGTGGTTAGCCGTTGTTCTGGGCAAATATCGTCACCTCTGACATCCAAAACATCTTGGCTTCATTGTTGCTGTTCTGGGCAGTCCTCTGACAGGCAAAGTGAGCCACAGGAAAGCATCAGCTCTGTGACACAGCAGCATTATTGATTTAACTGGTTTGTTTCTGTCTATGTTTAATTGGTATGTTAATAGCATTTTAATCCACATTTCACTCATATGTGGCTGATAGCACAATGCTGGTATGGCTGTGGTGACATTTTCTCACCATTGCTGTCTGTCATCAAGCACCAGGCCAGCACTGTGAGGCTGACAATACCAAATGCTTTGTTTAATTAGGCATACTTTACACTATACTGTATAATTACCCATCAATAGTTGATTTTTTTTTTATTAAGTAGGCAAAACCATGAAAAACCTTTAATCAAATAGCAAAGATTTCTGTCATCTTTTAACACCAGTATTTATAAACATTCAAATGAAGATTAATGAGAACTGAGTGGGGAAAAAAAAAAAAAACCAAACCTGCTGGTAAAATTGGAAAATCCCCTTTAAAGTTGATGCCAAGAAGCATATCACCAGAGCATCAAGCAACATGATTACCCAAGGTATTCATGCTTAGAAATATTTTTTCCATATTAAGTTAAGATCACTTCATCTCCAGACACACATTCTATGGGTCTGTCACAAACAAACATTGGCCCATGAGCGGTATTTCCAGAGGATCATGGTCAGCCAGAGACAAGGACATTGTATGTGCCTTTGGGCCACCCATCTCCCAGACACTGTGAAGCCTGAGCAATGAGTAATTCCAAGAGAGAATATTAAGACATTAAGCAGGACCTCTCCTAAGGGTCTGCTGCTGCCCAGGCAATGAACTCAGCTCACAGAGCTCAGAGGGCTCAGCTGGTTTTGCTCAGTTCCAGATCTTTCCCAAAGAGAGGGGTTTGGCACCAAGCGTGGCCCTGGGCAGACCCCTCAGACCATGAACAGCTCTCCTCAGCCTCACAGGCCTGCCAGGAGCCAGAGAACTTTTCACTGTCTGAGTGCTGGCCATGGTCTACGACTTCTTCATCCAAATATTGGTTGCCTTCCACCTCGTGTTTTGGTCTGTCTGACAGCCCCCACCCTCATTTTTCTCCTGCTATATATTCCTGCTTTTGACTCCACTCCTTCAGTCTCCATCCCTCTATCACAGCTTCTTTTTTCCTCCCATTTCACCTTGCTCTCAGATTAGTAACTTAAAACAGAAGTTGAAAAGCAAAAATATCCTAAATTAATTTGGCATCTGTGCTATTTAACTGAATCAGATGCCCTGTTTAATTACCCCAATGCTATTGTACTATTACTTTGGGAAAAAATGGCACAGGAGTGTGCTACAGCTGCTTCCACAGAATGCACTCTATATAATAATCAGGACCAGAAATATTTCACGAATAGGAAACTCTCTGGGCTCGGTATGAATCCCAGCTGGCAGGGGAGCCGTGCATTCAGGCAGTGCTGGCCATGCAGGCACCGAGGGCAGCGCAGAGGTGCAGCTGGGCTCTCCCAGCCCTGGCACCAGAGCGGGACCAGCAGTGTCTGCTGCAGGTAGGGAGCATCCCCACTGCCCAGGCTCCTTCAGCAAGGGCACCTGTGTACACCTCTACACCTGCCCCTGAGGGTGGAGTCCCCCTGCCCACCGTGCAGACCCTTGGGCTCTGCACGGGAGAGCTTTGGAGGGAGCCCTGCCTGCAGCTCCATAAGGCTCTCCACCACCCGCCTCACTCAGAAGGACAACTTTCACAGCAATCACGTCACAGAAAGTGTGAAATGTCCCCAGGATAAGGTTTCCCATAGTGCTTGGAGGTGTCTCAGTGTGCTCAGAAGCACTGCTGAGGTCAGATTCAGCACAGGGTTTCACAGGGAGGTAAAGTGGGGCAATGTGCACAAAAACACCCACTGTCTTTTTGAGAACCATAGGGGGAAACTAGAATGAGGGGAAAGATCATGGAGAATAATAAAAAGTGAGACTTTTCCAATTTTCTGTGAAAGGTGAGAAAACAGATGAAGATTTTTGAGAGCAAACGTAACACACACATACATGCACATACATACCCACCATCTCTAGATCCTGGGGAGAAGGCAAGCTGCTGCATTGTGTAGAGATTCAAAATGTAGAAAATCAATTGTAAATCACGCGTTCTGGATTCTTTGAGATGAAGTGTAATCTGATTTACAATGTTACAAAAAGAAATTAAAGTTAATTCCAACATGATTGCGGGTATACCGCAATTTAATACAACCATGCTGTGGCCTTTAAATCTCCACATTGCAATATGCCAACAGTCATTACTTTTTTTAAGTTTCATATTTTATTTTAAACTATAAATTGGAAATATCACATAGCTTGTTATTTACATTTCAGAATTAGGATCTCTGCTTAGAAACACAGTGCTCTATGGTGGAATACGATTATTGTGCAACTACCATACAGTTAGGATAGTTAAAGGCACTCCACTTCACCTCATCATTTTTTCTGCTTAAATATTATGCCACATTCTGATTAATACCAGACCAATAAAATCATCTTAGCAATCTGGTTAGAGTCTTTTGTCTACCCAGATGGCCTGCAATGTTAATGTGTGACAATTTCAACAATGAACTAGGACTGTTTTATGGAACCAACATTTGTTCCACTGCTTTTTCTTCTTAGGCTCAGAATTTTGACACAGATGGTACAAATTACTCAAAAAAACAGAAATGTTCATTTAGAAGGCTTAAATATGTGGTTTTACTCAGGCCATCCGAATCTTTTACATTTACAATTCAGTAAAGTTACTAACAACCCTGCTGTAATTAAGGTCTATAAAAATCTTCCCTTCTTTCCCACTTGCTTTTCCCCTTCCATATCTACAGCATTTCATTATGCATCCAATTTATTAATATTTATTCCAGTTCTGAAATGTTTTTAATTTTGAAGGATTTACACTGTTCAATCTTGCATCCGATTCTTCATACCTTTCTAATTATGGAAAAGGGGGGAAAAAACATTTAATCTGTAACCACATCTTAATCCCCCTAGAACCTACACTTTTCTAGATCTTAGAGTAGAAAAAGAAAAGATAAAACTATGTCAGCAGCTTCTGGCCAAACAACACAGCATTTTCAGTGAAGCGGAAGATTTTGTGATCCTGACTTTCCATACAGATACTCAGGAAAGAGTAAAATGTCTCTGAGAAATTACAACAGGAAGAGGAAAATAACAGGATTCTTATAAAGTGTTTTCAAGAGAGAAAGGGTCTAAGAGAAACCCAGGACTAGAGACAGATGCACTTATAGTTTGACTGAGCCTATAAAGACAAGAGATTATTGTGCAAAACTGCCAGAAGACAGGAGAGTTAAAGTAGAGCAACTGCTCTGGAGCTTTTGCTGCTACCCCAGGGAAAGGGGAGCTGGCACAGGCTGTCCTGTCCGGGCAGGGTCACGTCCTGCAGCACCACAGCAGCTCCCCCAGGCAAACTCCCTGCTGTACATCCAGGCAAACCACCAGGGGGGCTCCCCAAAATGGTTTGGCTGCGCACAGAGGTGTGGAGGAGCATCCCAGAGGCTGAGATCTTGCTCTGCTCCAAGCCCAGGCACCCACCAGCCCTGGCTCAGGCCATGGTCTGCAAGAGCCCTTGTGCTTCCAGGAAGGCTTGGGGCTCACGGGAGAGACGGCGGAGATCCTCCATGCAGGTGCACAGCACCCTGTGAGTCCCCACAGCAGGGTTTGCTTTCAGCACATCCTTCCAAAGTGATCCTGGCAGCAGGCACAGCCCCAGAAATCTCGTGCTATTTCACAGCACTGCAGCTGCTAATGTTTATTTCAGTGCCTTCAGCCAATTTACCTGAGCACAGTTCTTCCTTTGACACTTGCTGTATCTGTGTGTGATTTCAGCATCATTCTGTGCTCTGGTTTCTGGCCAATGATGTCTCTGTGATGGCTTGGTTTTATTATTTAAACAAATAATTTAAACAATAAAATCAAATTTTAAAACCAACATAAAACCCCATGACTGTCCTTTTCAGGCCTTGCAGAAAGTACACTACATGCCTGATGCTCCAATTCATTATGATATTCTATTAGATCTGCCAACAGAAAGTGCATTTTGAGTTTCTAAATGTTGTTTCCATTAGAATCAATCACTCCATGCAATTAAGCCAATAGGCTCTCACCATTTCTGCTGTTATGAGCTAAACCATCCTAAATATATTGACAGCTGTCTCCTGGAAGATGACACAAATTAGGTGGAGGGGGCAGGAGCCTAAATGTCACCAGTGATAGGGCAACAGTTATTCTTTCAGAAATCCACCTAATTTTCATACCCCATAAGGCATGCTGTAGACTTTTTTTTGCATTGGCAGCATGCAGTAATCGATGTTTTGCATATTACAATCAATAACATGCTTAAATGTTTAAGTTTTGCATTCTTTTGCGATAAACATTGATATATTACAAAGTATGTAAAACTGTTCATTGGACTTTTTGTTTGCAGCATGTACTGTATCATTCAGCAAATAAGTGAGCTAAATATTGTTTGTTACAAAACAGATGTCACATGAAATTATGCCATATGTGCTATTAAACATTTTTCTTTTTTTTTTTTTGTAACAGTGAAACCCAAGATTTCGTTTCAGAAGGGAGTGTATTTGGCTTTTCAAGGACTTGAAGCATGAAAACAACATCTCTAAAATATTTTTAAATCTGATGTGCATCTTGCAATCCAGTTTCATAGGTGGAATCTGAGTGTTTTAAATGCAGTTGCATTAAAAATAATGAAATATGCTAAACGTATGCTTGCATTACTACTGCTCCACAGGTTCTACTAATTTATCATAGAGGAAAATGAGAATTTTCTACTTTAGCCCCACCACTTAAAGGCTAATACTTTTATCACATTGGGACCCTTTAATACATGTTCTGTAACTTGAAAATTAATATACCATTTTCAGTCACCTAAAAAAAGAGTCCAGTTAGTGGATTCATAAAATTTTCTGTAAGCAGTTTTGTGAATAGTGGGTGTACGGAATTCACTGAGGTCAGGGATGGTCAATGCAGACTTGCTTCAGGGTGAAACCCAAACCCAGTAACTCTGCACGAGGTAAAGAAACGCGCTCCAAGACTCAGCATTAATTGTTTTGACAGAACCATATATGTGAAAGCAGAGCAATCTATATCTCTAGACTCTCAAAGTGTGAACTCCACAACAGAGTGAGCAGAATGCAGGAAACATGTTGCTAAGAGCCACACAGTAAAACAAAATCTGGTTGCCACAAGAAGAGTGACATTGGCATCAGAGGCAAAGACACTTACACCCACAAAAGGAAACACAGTGCTGGGAAAGCAAGGAGAAGAGGAGCAGATGCAGCAGCATGAGGAAGAAACTCAAAGTAGAGATCTTCAGACTCCATATGTAGTTTTCTTTCTCTTATTCATCAAAAGGAGGAAGACAGGGTAAACAAAAAGGGAGATAAAGACAAGAAGGTGAAGAAAATATTTTTTTCTTTTTCCCCCCTGAAGGCAAATACTTGCTTACATTTCTAAATATACTATCTTTGTGAAGCTTCTCTGTAATACAAATAACTAATTGCTTGCCAGTGAGCAGTAAAACTGAGAAGAGTCCTTGATCTCCCAGCTTGGTAGAGATTCCTGAGGCTTCTAGTCAGTAAAAAAACCCTGCAAATAAACTTTAACACTTCAGTGGATGGAGTCTCTCCTCCAGCACTACGAGCTTCCACATGAAGCCAGACAAATTCATCTTGGACCCCAGGACACTGTGCCAGGCCTGGTGAAGCTGCCTTCCACAGACTGTATCAAATCCCCTTCCTGCTTTCTCCTGGAGGTTAGTGTCACCTTTTTCACATCCTATCTGTCGTTTTGCAGGTTCTCTTGGATTATTTGTGGGGGAATGGCAGATGGGGCCACCGCAAAGGACGACTGCTGTGACTCTTTCACACCACCACACACATGGGAGACAGATAAATACCAGTTTATTGGCTCACTGGATTTTTCCCACGAGGAGAAGCTTTTCCAGCACAGCGATGCTGCAAAACTCCAATGTCTCCAACCAACCAGCCCCACCAGCTCTGCCTTAGACTGACACCAGGAGGATGAGCCCTTGTTTTGGTGCCCACCCTGCAGGTCAGCTCAGAGCTCTGGGGACACAGATCCCTTGTCACCACCAGGACGGGCACCTGGTGCCAACGTGTGCCCTCAGACCTGGTGCTGCAATGCCAAGCACCATCTTGAAAATGCTGCTTTTTCTGATCTAACATGCCTTGGCCAAGTCTAAACAGGGTTTTTATCTATAGTGCAAAACAGAGTAGCAGCAGATCAAGCATTTCCCTGGGAAAAAGCACAACCATGGAGCAGCAGGCAGGAACAACTATTCTGCAGTAACTTCCTTCGTGGCAAATCCTTAGTTCACACAAGATCTTCAGCATAGAAAACATGCACAACTTCTAAAACAATATCAAACCAAGCTTTTTTTTTTTTTTTTTTTTCCCTGAAAATATACTATTTTCCACCCAAGATTATTTTTAAATTATCTAGTCAGGTGCCAGCTTTTGGGGTGGTAGATTCTTTATAAGTGCCAAGGATCTGAGAGCAGGAAAGATTACAGGTAACCCTGCAACCCTGATTGAATGCAAATAGAGTTGTAAAAGCTTCCTCTTCTCCCTGCCTCCATATTGCACCTTATGCAGCAAAGTGCTTAGTGCATGATAAAAATAGCTAGATCTTTCAAAATCTTAGAAGAAAGGTACTTGAAGGTTTTTCTTTAAACGTTGTATTTTCTTAAAGGCAACATAATGAGGTCAACCAAAGCTGGATTCAGGCTGATAAACTGTGTTTAGGAGAAACCAGAGGTTGAGCGAGGGGGTTTTAGCAGAGGAAAACAAAGAGAATGATTGCAAAAGTCAGATCTCAAAATGTTAATCAGATTCAGAAACATAAAACATGACAATTTAATGGTGTTTGGTTAAAACCAGAAAATTTTAAAGTTCTAAGCATCTTACATTGAATTCTAATACTTTTTTAATTATTAGATATAAAATGCTTACAATTTTCACTGAAAATTAGACTTGGTAATTTATATTTCTTGTTTATACAGTACAATTTGCTGATGAAAAAAATGTGCTAAACTTATTGATTCATGACCATAATTGTTTAATTATTTATCATTGCAGAATTATATTAGCATTTATAATAATGCAGATGTGCACAAAGGCTAAGAAGTCATATACAGCTTTTGTTTTGTGTTTGCTGTGCTGAAATTAGGTTGATCCAGGTTGTGTGTGCACGCTGCATATTGCAAGTGTTGCAACTCGGTGTCTCTTGGTTTTGCTGGAGTTAGAGGGGGTCTAACCAATAGCCACAATAATGAAAACGCTCCGATAGCTAATAAAGAATATAAATCCTAAGCCAACAACATCTCAGAAGAAGTCTCCTCTCAGGCTGACTCCTCTGTTGCCATGATGCACATTAAATTCAGTGCAACACACGCACAGCTGTTTGCTCCGTACCACCCACAGCAAAGGAATAGCTCTGTGTGTTTGGTACAGGGGAAGCCAACGAGAGCTGCACACCACAAAAATTACAACCAGCTAAGCCAGCCAAAATCTTCTGCGTGAGGCCAGTTAAAGAAGAACATAAGATCTCTTGATATGAGAGAAACACATTCCTTTAATTTTCATCTTTATTTTAAGGGGTCATAAACAGTGGAAGAAAATGACAGATGCCTCACTTCAGCCTCTCCTCCCCTCTGTGTGCTAAATCCATTCCCTCAAGGAGCTCCAATAAGACTGACATACATCCCTTTCTGGAGAGCTGCTAAAATAGCTTTGCCATGGGCTTCACAAGAAATTTGTAACACTGAGTGTGTCTTTCTGGACTCATCCTTTTGACATATTGATAGCCAAGGCTGCCATTGCCTCTCCCCTCCGCGCTCTTTTCACCTAACACTATTTACTGGTGCTACCTTTTCATAATTAAGAGTCCGTATCAAAGCAGTTGTAACACCATTTAAGCAGCTTTTCTAAGGAATCAAATCTAAATGAAAAGGCAAAGTATAAAAATGCCCCATCTTCCACTGTGCCTAACTGATTTGCTCTGCATTTTATCCTCAGGGAGGTGCTGATTCCAAAAGCCAGGGAAGAAGAGCCATTCACAAAAGCAGCATCACACAACCAGCAAGGACTGATTGTGCATTGTACACCCACACATGTCAAGGGTCTCTGAAAGCAGCCCCCCAGCCATGCTCTGGCCGTGGTGGCTGGATTGTTGTCACAATTCACGGAGTGAGCATTTAACCTACTGACTCCTGCATCACAGCACAGGCCAGGTATTTGTTTCTTTTGTTAGACTAATATTGGTAACAGAATAACACACTCATTAGTGGTGATAATGATTATACAGCAAGGTAGAATAGCAATTCTTCCACTGTACCGCACAGAGGAGTCAGTTTCATTAATTAATGAAATTTATTAAAGAACACAAGACAATCAAAGAAAACACACTTTGGTTAAGCACTTTCTCAGATGCTGATCATTGGCTCAGTAACTTTAAACCTTTCCACCTGCTATAAAAATGCTACCTGTGCCATACAGAGGGAAGAGGGACAGGAGAGGCACCCTGGCTCAGAGGTGGGCAAGTACCCTCCCCACCCTGGTTGGCAGGAACAAAAGCCTCCATGGAAGCTGCAAAAGGCTCCAGAGCAGGAAAAACCCAGAGGAGCTAGACAGCAGAGGATGAACTGTGTCCTCACACTGAACCACTCAATTTTCCAGCTGGCTCTGTCTCTGTGTAATGTAAGAGACCAGCTCCTCTGGGAGTGCTTCTGCAAGGCCCTAGCCACACCTTCAAGAAGTTTGGGCAAAGACTTCTTCTGAGCAGGATTATTTCAAACACTTTGCAGTTATCAGAACCTGAATCCTCATAAACCCTTCACAGGGATGACAATTTAACAAATTATTTACCAGAACTGCATAACAACATACAGGTTTTGGTTTTCCCTAATGAAAAAAAGAAAAAAACCACGAAGAAAACTATGGCAGAGTAGAGACTTGAATCCAAGATCCCAGTCTCAAAGCTATCATAGGCAGCAGTGCCTGCATTTCTTTAAGTGATCACATTCCTACATGACTGTCATGTCAGATCTTAATTCTGGCCACCAACACGCTGCCATTTGCTATCTAGGGGATTTACTGGCTTTGCCAAGCAAGGAAATACCAGTGTTCAACTGTGCATTTGCTGCTCAAACAGTTTTAGGGTGAAAAAAAGTGTTGACGAGAAGTAAGATTGCTATAGGGGCTGCAAGACTTAGTTTCCTGAATTTCCCCAGGAATTAGTTACCTGACATAGTATTTCTGATCTTCCAATTTGATCCTTGATTTTTAGTTCCCCCACCATGAGAAGCAATTGCTCAATGCTGTGCAGAGATGCTTAAGAAATTAGGAAATGCCTAAATACAACAGACACAACAACAGAGGACTCAAAACATGCCATGGCAGCAAACCAGAGAAGGTATATCTCACCTTAATTGCTTACTCTTATTTGTTCAAATACATATGTCTTTTCGGAAATTACAATAAACTGCAATCTATTTTAATTATGATCTTTTCAGGTGGTGTCATATCTACATTAAACCAAACATGTCTGGTAAGATCTATGTGCCAAAAGTCAGACCCTAGTTCAGTTTTAAAGTGTTTTTTTTAGACCAAGACCTATCCATAAACCAAGACAGACACATCTAAAAGCAGAGAACAACTTTTTTCAGTAATGCTTTCTGGCT